AGAAATGTGAGTAATAGTTATAAGATCTGCCCCTTTGGCAGGCCTTCTCAACCAAGGAGGGTGTGTTCATAGCAGCAGCAGCCGGCAGGAAGGTGCTGTTCAGGAATGACATTCTACATTTGGAGAGCAAACTTTGCTGCCTCAGTTTGGTCTCCAAATAAGTGAAACCGAAGTCTTGTTCCTTGGCAAAAGCAAATTGTTAAATAGTTCACAGCAAAAAAGTTAGCAAAGTGAAAAAAGATTTCAATGGAAAATTCTCGACCAGTTCTAGAGCATAGATCTGCATGCTGGAGTCTAAAGAATCCACAGTGGGGGGCGGGGGAGGGGGCTTCTTGTCAGTCTTTCTGCTTCCATCCTTTCCCAGGCCATCCCAGCACCTGGCGACCAGCTCTGAGGCCTTGTAAGGCTCACAGTGAACCTGAAGCACCGAGCTGATCAAATGCTGTAAAAGAAATCACGTGGGGATATGAGGAGGCCTCTCCCTGCAGACACAGGCCTGGGAGCCAGTGACTTCTGGGTTCTAATCCCAGTGCTGACACCGGGCCCTGGGCAGGTCACTTCCTTTCTCTCCGCAACCGTTCCCCCGGTTTTTCAAATGAGAAATAGCAACACCTGTTAATCCTCCCAAAGCACCTGAGAGCCAGAAAATGTCTGTACTGTACTCTGAGGGTGTAAATAGCTACAGAAGGGCCTATTATGTTTAAGGAGGGTGTTAGATTTCAGGCAGCACTCAATCCCCTCCCCGTGAGCACCTCCAGTTATTCAGGGGCTAGGGGACTGACAAGTAGGTACCCATTGTCCCCACTCAGCCCCGCTGTACCCTCTGGCAGCACCCCAAGTCCGCCTGGGCATTTGCTCTGGGTGGAATGCTGCTTCCAGCCAGCGGGAAGGGGACTGAAGAAAGACCTGGTGACAGAAGGACAGCTGCTGAACAGTAGTGTTTCCCTCAGGAAGGCAGCGTTAGCCCATGATCCACCGTGCAGCCTTTGACTCCCCCTATCCAGGAGCTACCTGGGAAAGAGCATATTAATTACACTAGCAGATGATGTTAAACCGGGGGGGGTCATGAGCCCGAGTGAGGACAGAGGACCTTGAGAAAAATGGGCAGGAAATAACATGAGACGGACGGAACATCAGGTGACAGACTTTATGAAATGCTACTAAACTTTTATCTTCAGAAAAGGCTTCCCCCCATCACCTCCTCCTCACCGAACACCCCCAGCAAAAACAGCCTGAAACCAACAAGTCAAAGAACCAAACAACAAACAACATTTAAAAAAACTCTACCCAAGCAAAGATTTTACCCTGAGAAGGGAGAAGAGCCAGAGACTCCACGGAGCTCACTAAGGACGTCACTATTGATTTTACACAGAAGGCGATCAGACAGCATGGTGCTGGCAGCGGTGTAAAACCAGCCATTAGATAAAGTGTTCTGATTACCCAGGGGACTGGTGGGGGCACTAAGCCACAGACGCCAAGTGGGATGGAGAAACCTGGGAAGGGTGACAGTCAGCAAACGAGGTGAGCTCCTGTTTCTGCGTAGCCTCCAAAACAGGCCCGTGTGATCTGGGACCGCACCACATACCCTGCTCTCCAGGGAGGCCACGCCAGGGATACTGGGCTCAGCTCTGTGGTATGTAAATGTTTAGACAAAGTGAAGGGATGGAGGGATCTAGAGGAAACAGCGAGGACCTAAAACAGTTCAGTTTGACAAAATAATGGGCAGGTGCTAATCCCCCCTAAGTCTTGGAAGGGAGTACAGTACCACACCACACCGTGGTGGGAGATGAATAACTATGGGGGCATTAGGAATTACAGGAGGCAATTAAAGAACAGGATATTTGGAGTAAATAGCAGGAAGGCAAAGCCTCCTCAGTGAGAGCCAGGCTGCAGAAGAACCTCCCAGGGAAATGATAGAAGACCCATTGGTTCAGAGGCGTACAGTTAGACTGGATAAACAACTCGGAAATGTCCTATAGGGGACAAACCTGCCTTGCTGGAGAAGGACTGGGCCAGATAGGACATTTTCCATCTCTAGCTCCCATACGTCTAGGGTAAATCCAAATCACTAGTTCCCCACAGGTTTCCATACTAACCAATGCCATTAATGGTTTCTTCTGAAAAAAGCCCAGCTACTGGGAGGTGCCTCAGAGGCCAGCAGCCAAGAGTCCCACCTTTGATTCTCCTGCTGAGTGTGTTAGCACCTCCCGCTGCCCAGCTGTTACAATTAGAGTCAAAGCAGCCTCGAGGCTGGAGCTCGAAAGCAGCAGCAAATGTCAGCTTCGCAGGGAGGGCGATCGGATCCCTGTCAACTCCCCACAAGGCCCGCGGGACACAGTTGGGCAGCACCTGAACCAAGAGGGGCTGTCAGACCTAAGCATTACACCAGCCCTGCATTTGACATTGTTTGCACTGTTGAAAACGCTCTCAGCCCAGAGCGCAGACTCTGAAGCCCACCCCAGTCCATAGGCTTCGGAGCTTGAGCCCCAGCCCAAGCCACCACTTCAAAGCACCGTCTCCACAGCTAGTCTCCGAGAACTAGTACAAGCTTGCGTCTGTCAACTTGGGCTGGGAAGCTTGCTTCCGACGGCTGTATAGACACACCCCAAAGCACTGGACTGGGAATCAGGAGACAGGGTTCTACTCTTGGCTCTGCCAGGGACCTGGGGTGAGGAATTTCCCTTTTCTGTGCCTCTGTTTCCCCTCCCACCCTTTGCCTATTCTGGGTATTTAGACTGCGAGGTCTTTGGGGGCAGGGGCAGTCACGCTTTGTGTGTTTGTTCAGAGTTTTGCATGATGGGGATCTGAGATCAGCTGAGGCCACGAGATGCTACAAATACAAATAACAATAGTACCTAAGAGACTGACTTGCCCATCCCACATAACATAGTATCTGGCCCCCATCGCTGAATGCCTCACCATCTTGAAGGTTTTTATCCTCAACACCCCCTGGAGAGGTACGGACGTACTATTATCCCTGTTGTACAGAGGCGGAACTGAGGCAGGGAGAGATGAAGGGCCAGATTTCCAAAGGTATTTAGGGGCCTAACTCTCACTGCAATCAGTGGAAGTTAGACACCTGGAAACTTTTACAAATCTGGCCCTCCCTGACTTTTCCAAAGTCACACGAGAACTCTTCCACAGAGCATCTCCCAGATCCTAGGGCCCTTGCCACTGGACCATCAGTTCTTTCCACAGGTGCTAGGTGCACAGGTGCTGCAGGTAACAGAGAGTTCATTCTTTTATTGTTCAGCCAAGAAAGTGAAGTGGCCAATTCCAGGAACTCAGGGTTAGAACAAAAGATGACGACACAGGGGAAGTGGCAGCGTTTCCCAGAAAGCAATGATGTTTATCTGACCAAAACATATGCTAAGTGCTTCTTTCCAGCAGAGGATAAGTTAAGAGTGAAGAGAAATCTATACTTTAAGAGCAGTGCCCCACTGGCAGCCAGACAGACCCACTGAGTATATTATTAACCCAAATCATCTGTTCCTTCAAAGCTATAATGAAGCACTGTCCCTGGTTCATCACTGGAGGGTTGCTTGTGTGTGCTGGGCTGCACTCACAGACACTGGTTTGTTATTGTAGGGTTGCTCCTGAGTGCTGAATTGCATCCACTGATTGGGTATGTTTGGGGAGGGTGTGGTACTTCAGGACGTATCCTCTTCCACTTGGCCAATGAGTTAACCTGAGGTTTCTCTAAATAGATGTGGGGTGTGTACAATTTGAGGCCCAGCCAGAGGGACCACAGGAACCCATTGCATTGTGCACCTGTAACTCAAACCATCTTGCCTTGCAGACGAGGCTTTTATCTTCATAAACGGAACTTTCCCCACTGCTTGAATGGACGGGGTCCAGAGACGTCATCTCGTCAGCACATGAAGCCCTGTCAGAGTGAGGCCACAATCTATATGTGCCATGGCACCGAGCCCAGAACCGCATGTAATAAGATGTACTGTACTGTCCTGGAGGATCCCAGAGCTAGAGCAGGGCTGACAGCAGCTTAAGCAGACACCTATTATAAGACCTCTGTAATCGACTTTACTGAGGCCTAACCCCCGAGCCGTTAGCTGTTGCTCTGAAGTTCTCTTCGATTTTTCCTCTTTAATCTGAAAATGAATTGAGTGCTAGTGAAAGATGCTGGAGAGACTCCCCTGGAGAGCAAAGACCTGCATTTACCCACACAATGGGGCACAGCATCAGGGCAAGTTTCCCAGCGCTGCCCCACTGCCTCCATCCTGAACCGGAGGGACCACACCTAGCGGGGAGTTCAGTGCAGACTCTCTGAAACCCTGGCTCCTCTGATGAGACAGCCAGTTAGTGGCAGCCAATTAGACCACTACGATAAAATGAGTTAAATTGGGAAAGCATCTTCTGAACAACCTGGGGCCTCCAGCTCAGCACCCACAAGGGTGACCCTTTGCTGAATCAAGGCCCTAAAGAGTATGTCTACACTGCAGCTGGGGGGTGAGCCTCCCAGCCTATGTAGACTGACTCGTTCTAGCAGGGCTTGAGCTAGCGTGCCAACGACAACAGTGTGGATGCTACAGCTCAAGTGGCAGCTCAGCCTCTCAAGCCCACACGCCCCCTTGGGTCAGAGCGCGGGTGGCTAGCCTGAGTCTCTGCCAGCGCTGCAGCGTCTAAAGAGCTACTTTTAGCACACTAGCTCAAGCCCTGCTCGAACGAGTCTGCCTACACAGGCTGGGAGGCTAACCCCCCAGCTGCAGTGGGGACACAACCAAAGTGTGTTACCCAGTCCAGAGCACTGCAACGCTGAACCAATGCCCCCAGCTGGCGGCTTTCATGGGCCTGAGTGGCTTTCCTTTTGCCTGAACTGCAATACAATTGCAAGCTCCTTGGTGCAGGGTCCGTGTCCTCTTATGTGTCTGCAATAGTGCCTGAGTGCACAGTCAGTGCTTAGCAGACAGATGATAATACAACGCAACGTTCTCCCACCTTCAGTAGGCAGTCTCCAATGCTCCCTACAGTGAAATTTGATGCTTTCCAGCAAAGGCACACCTCTTTCAGGGTGTTGTGCAAAATTCTGTATTTTAACGTAGGGACAGGAAATATTAAATAAGCTGGCCAGACCCCAAAGCGAAGCTGTCACTTAGGCTGAGATTTATCAACTCTGAAGAGGAGCAAATTAAAGGTTTTGATGGACCCATCAATCCCACCACTGTGATTTTCCAAAGGTTGAACCTTTGGGGAGCTGCAGTCATTTCACTAACAGGTTTTTAAAGGGCAGGCATTGGTGCTTCTGTCTGGAGCAGATCTGCGGAGGAGTTGTTGTTTTTTTCCTTCTTCTTTCATGCTTGATTATTTCCTGATTCTGCAGTGGGATGGGTCTGCTGAGAAAGATTTTCATTCCCTTTGTAGGATTGGTCTTGGCCTTCTGTTTTTATTCAGCAAGGGAGGATTTTAAACCTGGTAAGTTATTAAAAGCAAATGTATTTTTAAAATTAAACAGAAAAAGCCACGTTTGAATGTTTTACACAGGATGTGTACAGAGCCTGAAATAAAACATGTCTGGGCATTTGTTACACTGCAGATAATAGACCACTCTGCTTTGCAGAGCTTTCAAACTACATCAAGCAAGTAACACAGAGAAATATTTTCTTAGGAAACAGGTGAAGTAGGAGTTTTATTATTCGGATTTACAGGGGGGGAGCTCTTAACATTCATTTTCACATGATTTATGTTTGTAAAAAAAGAGCAAGAAAAAGGCTATTTTACAAAAAAAATTTTAAAAATACTTATTTAAAAACATTGAAAATATCTTTTTTGAAAATGGCTGGAAATTTTAATTATCACCAAAAAAATTCATATCCTGATTTGCAACATGATAGTTTAAAAAAAAAATCTGGCCATGTCCCTGTTAATATTGCTTTTTTCACATTAGGAATTTTAACTATTCTTCTTACTACAGTTTTCTTGGGACAAGGCAGAGAGTTTGCCTGGTGCAGGGTGAGCATGCTAGTTTGGGCAGGTTAGACTGGCTTGTTGTCCACTTTGGTTTCTTGACCCCGGAGGGCATGGGGTGGGGGGGTAAGAGAAGGGGAATCTTTCTCTGGTATCCTGGTAAGTTAACATCCCTGTGCCTTGCTTTCCAGAGATGTTGAAAGGGAAGCGAGTGATCGTCACTGGAGCAAGCACTGGAATTGGAGAGCAAATGGCTTATCACCTGGCGCGGATGGGAGCCCATGTTCTGGTCACAGCACGGACGGAAGCCAAGCTTCAGAAAGTAAGTACCGAGCACACACACGAAGGTCAGTCTTATGTCAAACATATAGACATACAGACACGCATGGACACTCACCATTGCAATTACATGATATGCGCAATGGTACACTCGCATGCTGATTCTCACACATGCACAAACCTACACGCATGCTTGTGAGGCACAAACATGTACATATTCATGCTCCTGGTCATGCACACGCATACACTCTTCTTTTTATACATGCGCTGGTATCCATGCTCACACCCACTCATGTACACACAATCTCATACGCACAGTCACATGTGCATGAACACACAAGAATGCACTCTCACTGCATTGCAGTAATATAGACACACCCCCACTCATCCTGCAAGCACAGACTTCCACTGCAGAGCAGACTCTACTGGGAAATAGCCAGGTTGCTTCAGATTTCCATGGTACACGGACTTTGCAGTCCCAGGAGGCTCCAATCCCATTCTGGCATCCTTTAGTGCCCACTGTTTAAAGCCAGAGCCAGAGCGTTCAAGACAGTAACCCTTGGCAGGCCGAATGCGCTCATTCTACCCACAGAGCCACGTCTATCCAACCATGGATGTAACACACTGAGGCGCTCCAAGGTTCATCAGTGGGGAATGTGTTTCTACAACATTCCATTCATGCGGTTCCAGATCATCACCCGGTGTTTGGAGCTGGGGGCAGCCTCTGCGCAGTATGTGAGCGGCAGCATGGAGGACAAGGCCTTTGCCGAGCATGTGGTGAAGGAGGCTGAAGTAGTGCTGGGTACGTTAGCAGCTCACTGTCTGGAAATCGCCATCCGACCTTTAACGAGTGATGAAACGCAGAGAGATGTGGCATCACTCCTTAGCCACATTACTGTCTGCCACATTAAAAGGCAGGAAAAGCAGGAGGGATGTGGAAATGTCCCTCATTCTTCTCATTACGTGTGTGTGTGTATAACGAGAAGAATGAAGAATTATATTCCTATTTGTATCTCACATTCACAAGTGACCAATCCATACATGCAGTAACTATATCGAGTTATAGTTACAATTATTGTTAAATGTATTAACTGGCCACTTGTGAATGTGAAATGCAAATAGGATTGAAGAGAGCCACCATAAAATAGACAGGCTTTGTGCATGCACCCCCCCCCCCCCCCAGCTCTGCCAACGCAACTCTGCCCTGATTAGAAGCATCATCTGTTGCGTCAGTCTTTGTTCTGCTAGTGGACTGCAATCCTACCCTGCTGGCCCCGCATGCTGTTCGAAACCTGGACCCACACACAGCTCGACCATTCAGGCTTGATCTCAAGTGCACTCGATTGCAGTCCTACACCTCCGTAATACTCCGCTCCTGGATCTCCGTCCCAGAGCCATGGGTATTACATTCCTAGGCCTTCCGTTCGCTTTGTGCTGGAGCAATCTTGCTATGCCCATTATAGGTCACTGCACAAAGCTGTGAAAAGCCACACCTGTCTGTTCTCTCTTGCCACACATCCTGATGCTGCACATGTGGGCCCACATGCAGGTCAAAAAAGATCTGCTTCCCCCCCCCCCACACACACACACACATCCTGAATGAGAAGAAAGTACAAATCACAACACAGTGTTTTTGTAATAGAGTCTGAAGACTGGGACTTGGTGAGTGCGTGCCAGTCACACTTGTACTGGCAAGCAGAATCTGGATTTTGACCCAGCTCTGCAGAGATGAAAGGCCCGTGCAGTGACCCAAGAGCCTCCCTTATTATTAAAAATAATAAGAATAATAGATGTATTTCATTCCAAAGAATAGATTCCTGCAGAGATTCATAGTGACTAAAGGAAAAGATACGTAGCGTAGACAAGTGGTGTGCTCTGAACTTCCTTTGTCCTCTTCCCCTCTAAACTAAAGCATCCCTGGCTCTCCCCTTTGCTTTCAGGAGGCCTAGACATGCTGATTCTCAACCACGTTGGCAACTCGTACTTTAACTATTTCGACGGCGACGTAGGGCACGTGCAGAAGCTGCTGAAGATTAACTTTCTCAGCTACATGGCCATGACTGTCTCAGCCCTGCCCAGGCTGAAAGACAGTGTGGGCAGCATCGTGGTGGTTTCATCCATGGCAGGTGAGCCATGAACGGGGACAGAGACCTGGGGGCTGATTTTCAGAAGTGATGAGTACCTGAAAATCCAAGGGATGTCAATGGGAGAGGCAAGTACTCAGCACCTTCAAAACTAAATTACACTTTCCTTGGGTTTGGCTCCCCCTAGTGCTTTGTCACTAGAAGCTGATCACCTTGGCATGCTTCTTTATGACAAACAAAGGGGATCATCGGAGGAGTACAGCTCAAGCTCTTCAGATATTGGCATCACAGTCTGACCAGCACAGACTGGAAATATTTGGCTCTCTCCTTGTATTGGCTATTTGACTGATTAGACAGGGTCATTTTGTTTCTGTGGATCAAGTTCAATAGCTAGCTGACCCCACTAGCTGATAGTTCTCTGGCTTACATGAAGCATCTTAGTGACAGGTGTCCCTATGGTAAATCTGCCATCTTAGTTAACCCCTCGCTGGTGAGCTCAGCTGTGGCGCCAAGGACCCAAAGGGCCACTGAGGCTGAACTCAGCACTGTGGGTGATCTCTCCAGGTCAGGTCTGAGCACATCCGTTGAGAGCATTGAAGGTGGGAAGCTTACGCTGCTGCCACCTGCTCTGTGCGTGGCTAGGACATTTGGCTGGGCTAGTCACAGGACCTGAAGAGAGTTCAGAGCAATAGGGTTTGAGTGCCCAGATCCCTTGCCGTCCTCTGAACCCTGCGCCTGCATCTCTGGGGCCGTTGGCGTGACACTTCACCGGCACTCAACGCACTTGGAAAGAATGTTACATCTGGTGCGGAATCAAATAAATCTTTACGCAGCACTGTAACAGAACTTAACCATGTCGACACTGCTGCTCTGTGTCTAGGTAAAGTTGGGTTTCCATTTACCGCTCCCTACTCTGCAACCAAGTTTGCCCTGGATGGGTTTTTCAGCTCCTTGCGGCAGGAATTAATCATTCAGAAGGTTGATGTTTCCATCACGCTCTGTATACTCAGCTTCATTGACACAGGTAAGATCAGTGCTGTGTGGACCTTGCTGATTAGGAACTAGTCACCCTCCAAATTCAAGCGTTTTATCCTAACTTTCAAGTTGCTTCACACCTCTGTCCCCCATTCCTTCTCCTCTTCTGCCTCTGCTCGACCCATGCTACTTGTCAACTCCCCACCAATGTTCTTGTCTTCTTTCATGCCACCCCAAATACTTGAAATGCCCTCTCTGGGCTGATCTGGAAGGACACTACCCCCACCCTCCTCCAAATCCTAGTCTCAGCCTGGGCTACACTGAAATTTTATACCAGCATAACTATGTCAATCAGTGAAAAAAAACACACCCTGCCTGGCATAATTATGCTGACAAAACCAACGATGTAGCTGCAGCTATGTCAAGCAAAGAGTGCTTCCATAGACGTAGCAAATGTTGTAAGGGGAGCTGCACTGATAGCACAATTCATTCTGTTGCTCTAAGCTACGTCTACACTAGGGGGCTATGCTGGCACAGCTCCGGTGACATAACTATGATGGCATAATCTCCGTAGAGTAGACATACCCTCAGACCCATTTCTGACTCACCATCCCAAAGAAATCAGCCAATGAATAATGGCTAGGCCAGCCTGAAGTGCAGTTAGGGTAAGTCTGCGGGCCAGATCCTCAGCTGGTATAAATTGGCCTAGGTCCACTGAAGTTAATGGAATGACAGCAATTTATACCAGCTGAAGAAGTTGCTGTATATTTATGTACTGATGCAAGTACAACGTGAATATATAAAATATGAAAGTGTATGCATGAGAGTTGCTTGGAAAATGGGGGAGGCGGGGGGAATTTACAACATTTTGCAAAATTCTCTTCCTCTGTTGAAATCTCCAACTTTGAGTTTGTTTTGTCTTGTTTTTACAGGCTCTAGTATGCCTATCAAAATCACTGAAACTGAGCTGACTCCCTCTCCCCAACCCTTGTGTTACTCATCTGCTTAAATCATAAGCTTTTGGGGGCAGGGTTTGCATTGACCTCTGCATCTGTAAAGGGCCTAGCACAATCGGGGCTCTTGTCTACTGTTGACTGGGGCTTCTAGTGCTACCACGGTACCGAGCACATGTAACAACAAGAGAGGGGTTATGCTGGTTTTCTCCCAGGCTCACTAAGCCACTCAAGGCTCAATTGATGTTAAATGGCTTAAAAACAATCATTAAAACAAGCAAATCCAAGCTGGGTTCAGCTGGCCCTGGACGTGCAGGGCTCACTAGTGGAGAGGACTGTAAATCTGACCAAAGCTCCTTTTGTTCTACGGTGCTAGAAAGTGCCATGAAAGCAGCTTCTGATGTGGCGCCGAAGGAGGAGTGTGCGCTGGAAATCATCAAGGCGGGAGCCCTCTGCCAATGGGAAATTTACTACAAATATGCAGCTACCAAAATCCCCCTCTTGATCCGGGACTGGGCTCCAGAACTCCTGGATTATCTGATCAGAAGAAGCTACAATGTGGAAAACCTAAAGAAAAATTCATCAGTCTGAGTTCTCCACTGCCTTTCTGCTCATATCTGTCTCTGGGGTTACCTTAAATCAAGGCCTGGTGTGCTGTGGAGCTCCCTAGCCCAGGTTCCTTCTCATTTAGGGAATGCAATGCTGGGATCCCTCATCGTGTGACCCTGGGATCATGTGGTATTTTACAGTCCTGAAAACCAATGCAGCATGCCTCGGGTTGCCAGGTGTCTGTTTTTTTACTGGAATGCCTGGTCAAAAAGGGACCCTGGCAGCTCCAGTCAGCACCACTGACGGGGCTGTTAAAAGTCCAGTAGGTGCCGCAGTGGGGCTAAGACAGGCTCCCTCCCTGCCATGGCTCTGCACGGCTCCCAGAGCCAGCAGGATGTCTTCCCGCCACCCTGGCTCCTATGAGTAGGGGCATCCAGGGGGTTCCGCATGCTGCCCCCGCCCCAAACGCCAGCTCTGCAGCTCCCATTGGCCAGGAACAGCAAGCAATGAGAGCTGCGGGGGTGGCGCCTGTGGACAGGGCGGCGCGCAGAGCCACCTGGCCGTGCCTCAGCGTAGGAGCCAGAGCGGGGATATGCCACTGCTCCTGGGAGCTACCTGAGGTAAGGGCCACCCAGAGCCTGCACCTCTGACCCTCTGCTCCAGACCTGATCCCCCACCCACCCTCTGAACCCCTCGATCCCAGCCCGGAGCACCCTCCTGCACCTCAAACCCCTCATCCCCAGCCCCACCCCAGAGCCTGCACCCCTCCCACACCTCAACCCCTTGCCCCAGGCTGGAGCTCCCTCCGAACCCCTCAGTCCTAGCCTGGAGCACCCTAAGGCACCCCAAACCTCTCCTCCCCAGCCCCACCCTAGAGACTGCACCCACAGCAGGAGCCCTCACACACTCCCACACTCCACCCCCCTGCCCCATCACAGAGCCCAATCCCACGCCCTGAACTACTCATTTCTGGCCCCATCACAGAGCCCACACCCCCAGCCAGAGCCCTCAGCCCCTCCCTCACCCCAATGCCCTGAGCCAGCCCAGGGAAAATGAGCAAGTTAGTGAGGGTGGGGAAAGCGAGCAACGGGGGGGGGGGGGGAATGGAGTGAGTGGGGGCAGAGCCTAGGAAAAGGGGTGGAGCAGGAGCGGGGCCTCGGAGGAGGGACAGGGCAGGGGCTGGACAAGGGTGTTCAGTTTTGTGCCAGTACAAAGTTGGCAACCCTAAGCATGTCACTCCTGTCATTACAGGATACAAATGCAGGCACTCCTGCTCCTGCAGCTGGGAGCATGGTGAAGTCATGCTGGCCTTGAAAACCCATGTTTTGGAAAAGATTTTTGAATTTGGTGCCCTGGGATTGCATTTCCTATAACTCTTCCTTAGCTCACACTTCTCCGCATTTGAACATATTTAAGGACCAATTGACCTCATCAGTGAAATGCAATGGCCATTGCCTTTACCTCACTCGTCCTGTCGCAATATGATTTTTATTTAAAGGAACTAGGCTCCTGTTGCACTATTGATTGTTAGTCTATGTATTTGTCAGCTGCGTATGAAGAGATCTTTGCAGAGGCGGAAGGATTGTATTTTATCCCATACTTCCCTCTCCTGGTAGATAAAATCCTTGCAGCAGCCAGATTTGAAATTCACAGAAGAAAGGCAATGCCTTAACAATATTATAACCACCCTTGTGATCAAGCAGACTGTGGGAAGGTCATTTCCACAGCAGAAATCTGGCTATGTTTGTTTTAAAAATCTTTGTTTTGAGCTTTTTAAGCTAATACACAGCACTTTGTATTTTGAATTAAGAGTGCAATTCCTTCAGAATTTCTCTAGATCAAGGAGTCCCGGTTGTAAACGTGGAAAACTACAGTATCCTGTCCCAGGAAAAATCAGACAATTTCTACTCCAGAAATGTATCAATGTTTACTCAAGAGAGAAGACTGCCCCCCACCCAAAGCCAAGTGGCCTGATTTTCAGAGGAACTGAGTGCCCGCAGCCCAGTGGGAACTTGGCACCTCTAAAAACCAGCAGGCCAAGACCTAACAAAAGCTAGCCAGCATTCCAGCAAACCCCACTGCTTTAGCTACAGTATCTGGAATAATATAACTACATAATACAGAATATATAGCAAAAGTAGTATCCAGAATGTCTCTGACCAAAGTTCTGACTTCTTAGGAGCTGGATTATGGTTACTTAACAGCTGGCATTTGTGGTGACTGGGGGAGCAAGGTGACTGCTAGCAGACAGCAGTGCTGGCTTTCTGTTTTCCTTTTTGGGCCAAATAATTAGTGCTGATGGAAATTTTCCAAATTTAAATTACATTTTTTCCACGTGTACAAAAAAATTGAACAATGTTCATGAAACTGTTCCCCTTTTTCTAAAAAACTCTAATAAAAGTATCATTGTGAAACTTTCTCCTGTCCCCAGATCTGAGCTGAAGTTTAAGGAGAGATGGCTGGACTCTGCACCATTGGATTTTTTCATAACACATGATCAAGACTGAACAAAGCATGAAAGACAGAAATCTCCCACAACTCCAACCCCACCCTTCCAGCCAGCCCTGGCCCCTACAAACACACAGAGCTGTGGAGCATGTACCAGAGGAAATGTAGTGATGTAAATTTATTATTAAAATAGAATTCACTACCCTTAGAGTTGTGTATATTCCACCCCCTTCCTTTCTCCATTTCATCTTTTTAGCCCACCCTACCTGGGTGCAGCGCCATTGACTCCAATTCAGGCCTTATCTACATAGGCAAGCCGCACCAGATGAACCTGACAGTATGTCTATACTACAAACCTGACAGCGGCACAGCTGTAAACTGTGCCATTGTGGCGTAGATACTTTCTGCATCGACGGAAAGGGTTTTTCCATTGCTGTAGTAAACCCACTTCTCTGAGAGGCAGTAGCTAGGCTGACAAAATAATGCTTCCATCAACCTAGTGGGGTCTACACTGCGGGAGAGGTCAGCATAACTATGTCGCGCAGGGCATGAAATTTTTCACAGTCCTGAGCAATGTATTTGGGCTGATCTAAGTTTTAAGTGTAGAGCAGGCCTAAGGTATAAATTTAAACTGACATAGTTGAACTGGTGTGAGCCCCTGTGTGGACGTACTTATTTTGGTTTAGGAGTGACTTTTCTCCAATTAGATTAGGGCCTGCGTCTACACACAGTTTATAACTATTTTGGATGAGGTGGTGATTATACATATTATAGAAAAATAGTTATACCAGCACAAAGTTATTCTGGTGTAGGTTATTCCCCCTTCCCATATGGGAATATCTATCCCAGTATAAAGCACTTTGTACAGTGTAACTATGTCCACACTCGTGGAGTTGTACCACTTCAACTATACTGTTAGCGGCCTGATCTATGCTTACAATTTATACTGGCATAGCTATACTGGTGAGGGGTGTGATTTTTTTAAATTTTTTTTACTGACTTTGGTGTGCCCATATAAGCCCTAGTGCAGGTGCATTTATACCAGCATAAAAGTGCTTTTACCAGTACAGTTTATGTCTCTTGGGAAACTGGTGTCAGTTATGCTGGCAGAAACACTTCTGCTGATATGAACTGCATGTACTCTAGGAGGGTTTGCTGCTATAGCTATGCCAACAAAACTTTTCTAGTGTAGACAAAGCCACGGTTAAAGCAATATAATTTCTATGTGTAGACAATTGTGGATTGGGAACAGACTTAAGCCACTCTTAAGCCCGGTCAACACTAGAAAAGTGATACAATTTTAAAGTGGGATTTATTTATTTTTACGGAGTTAGTTATACTGGCATAAACCCTAATGTGGGTGCAGTTTTAACACTATAAATTGTCTTATAACTATGTCTTATTTTGCTTCCCAGACTGAAATAAGCTATTCCACAATAAGCACTTTTATACAGCATAACTGCATCCACGCTAGGTTTTTCTTTGCAACATAAATATAATGGTATAAAGTAATAAATTTTCTTAGTGTAGACAAAATCCTTAAACTGAAATCAGAGCATCCAGACAGGAGTTTGGATCAGTGTGACTATATCAGTTTAAAAACTGATTTTAATTAAGTAGGTGCAATCTTTCCAATGTAGATAAGGCCTGAGTTTTGTTTGTTTATACCAGGAAAGAATTTGCCCATCTCTTCTTATTCACTCCCTCCATCCTCCACCTCTCCCTCTATCCACCACATTTCCATTTTCTATTTCCCTTTTTTAATTATTATTCTCCTGGTCTCCTTTCTGGGTCCCTCCCTTTCTCTTTCTTTATGTGCCTTTCTGTACGTGTCTTTACTTTCTTGACTCTTAGCTAGTTAACCAGCCAATCTCCCTGCTGATCTTCACTTTCACAGAACAAACAAAAAAGCCCCATGAAACACAAGCTGAAGATACACGACTGTTGTTCTTCCAAGGGAAACTCATTCTTTCCAAAAAGAAAAGGAGTACTTGTGGCAGCTGTAGCTCACGAAAGCTCATGCTCAAATAAATTGGTTAGTCTCTAAGGTGCCACAAGTACTCCTTTTCTTTTTGTGAATACAGACTAACACGGCTGTTACTCTGAAACCTGTCATTCTTTCCAGTAAAAACCGCACCTCTTTTCAGTGTATAAACATGCTGATGCCTTCCAAAGCAGGGACAGGGTAAACAAAGCAAGAGGCAATCCATCTCAACCCTTGTCATTTTCACTGATGGAGAGCAAGTCTGATACAGCAGGTTAAAGACCTGATGGCCGCAGACTGATTTTACAGGTCAGCATATTTTCTATCATGCAGGCACTCACAATCAGGGTCCAAAGTTTATATATGGCTGCTTTTCTTGGAGGCAGCTTTGCAGGGTTTGCCTGGTGTATTGCCTGACTCTGTGGAAGCCCCTGTTTTAGGATGTGGATTGTTTTTCTATTTCAGTTGGTAAAAGAAAGGATTTTAAACAGAATTGTGTTTGGAAAACAATTCAGAAAAAACAGCATGTTTGAGTTTTACACTGGATCTGAGCAGAGCTGAGACCTAACCTAGACTTGTTTTACTGCAACTCCCCAGATAGCGAAGTTCTGAAATTGCGCTGTTTGCGGACAGCACTTGTATGCACAGAAATGCACTGAAAACATTGCACTTTGCCTCCCTGAAATGCAAATTCCTCCCGAAAGCAAATTAGCAGCAATAACTTTCTATTAGTTTTCTGTAGACATTTAGGAGCTGATCCTTCAATCCTGATACACTTACTTCTTTCCCCTAGCCTTAGAACTCCTGCCCTAATCTAGTCCACAAGAACTCACTCCTCTCCGCCTTTAAACATCTCCTTAAGAAAGCCTTCTTGAGAGAAGCCTGCAATCCCTATTTCCCCAGGAAAGGGTTTACACACGCACCCCTTTTAGCAATTATAAGATCTAATAAAGGGAATAATAAACTGGAACTGCAAGACATGTCTCACACGACTGTTTATTCACTCTGGTTTTTAGTGCATTCCTTCCCTGCATGTGTGTGTTCCCTGTCTACATAGGCTCCTCAATGGATAGACCTTTTAGGAGTTTAGAGCATCTAGCATATGGTGGATATTATACAAATAATAAGTGGTGACAATAAATAGCAGAATCCTGTAAAGTTTGTGCTGCAAACACTAAAGTTCTGTCTAGATTTTTATATGTCCCTCATTCCTATAGCATTTGAGCACTTCCCACTCATACATGAATTTATCCTGGCAACACCCCTGGGAGGTAGGGGAGTATCATCCCCATTGTATAGACAAGGAAACTGAGGCACAGAGAGGTTAGGTGACCTGCTCAAGTACCTGCTATTAGAGCCGGTACTTGAACCCATGAACCAAGGTTCATAGACTCACCCTTCCTTTCTCAGAAGCTGGTTCCTTCTAGCAAAAGGACACCTTCCTTCAGTGTGCTCAGAGAACACAAAGGTAGACCATAGCAGGAACAGGGTGCAATAGGGAATATGAAGTCCAAAATGACGCTGTTGTTTAAAGATTAATGATTATTAACCTGCACAAAAAGTAAACAAAAACTATGACATACATTTGCAGTCAAACTTGTTTTCAAAGCTCCCATAACTTGCTCCCTACTTT